TGGTCAATCCTTGGGAGTGGAAAGCTGTCCTTAGGCAAGCTTTGTTGAGGTTAGTGAAATCGATGCATACCCTCCACTTTTTGTTATGTTTCTTTACTAAAATCGGGTTGGAGACCCACCTCGGGTAGGTTACCTCCCTGATGAAACCATTTTGGATGAGCTTCTGAACTTCTTCCTTCAAGGCCTCATGCCTCTCAGGGTTAAGGGCTCTTCTCTTTTGTTTGTGCGGGGCAACTTTTGGATCAATTTTCAAGTGGTGGCAGCTGACCTTGGAGTCTATGCCTATCATATCTTCATGCCTCCAAACAAAGACATCAAGGTTCCTACTTAGGAAATACTTAATCTTTTCTTTCAAACCGTTGGACAAACCTTTTCCTAGTTTCAACAATTTGGATGGGTCTCGGGGTTCCACCGAGAAGTTTTCAAGTTCTTCAACTAGGGATGCTTGAGGTTCGTGTTCAATTATGCGGGGGTCTATCTCATCGGTAACCAATACTTTTGGCATGAGTGGTGCATCAATCATTTCCACATCTTCCAGTTTGAAGGCAGCATCACCTGGGACATCAGCCATAACTATGTCAGTGATAATCACGTGGACGTCCCGGGGCTCTACCTTTCTGATGGAGCTCAGATAGCACTCTCTAGAGCCTCTTTGGTCGCCTCTCACCGTTGCCACCACGTTTTCAGTCTAGAATTTCATGCATAGGTGGTGGATGGATTTGAAGGCTTCCAATTCCTTTAGAGATGGCCTACCCATTTTTTCGTGGTAGGCCGATCGACTGTCAACAACGAGGAACTCCATAAAGTTCACTGTGGTTTGGGGAGACTCCCCCATTTCCACTGCAAGGGTGATCTTTCCTCTCGGAGTGATGCTATTTCCGGTGAATCTGTACAAGAGAGTAGTCGTGGGCGTCGAATCATGGTCTAATAACATCTTGTTGAAAGTAGACCTAAACAAGATGTTGACAGAGCTACCGTTGTCAACTAGTATTCGCTTGAGCCCATTCCGGGCTATGACCGCTCTCACTACAAGTGCATCGCAGTGGGGGTAGTGAACCCCTTCAGTGTCCTTTTGGGTGAAGACAATAGGTGGAACTTGATCCCTCCGGGAGCTATGGCCCACAATATAGCTGGTAAGCGGGGGTGCTTGGCCTCACGAGCATAATTCCTTTTAGCGTTTTGCGTTTCACCATCAACATATGGGCCTCCAAAAATGGTATCCACCTCGTGGATGGGCCTTATCCTAAGTTTACCGACTCCTTCTGTGTCTGCGCACTTCCCTGGGCCTCTCTGCATCGTACTCCCTTCGTCGCGAAGAAACATCCCTTTGATGGTAAGCGGCCTCTTTACGCCCAGGTCAGTTGTCATACCTAGGTAGGGGCCTGTTCGCCTGAGGCGATTCTTTCTATCCCTAGGAGGGTTCCTGCGGTGAGCATAGTCTTAACAATTTGCTGTGTCGTAGCCATAGGACCAGTGGTATATGTAGTATCCGGGAGGGTTCAGATTTGACCTATTTTTAGGTCCCAAACCCCGGCCTCGACCTCTTTCCCTGCGGGATCCTTGCGGAGTTCCCATCTACTGGGCGTCGGTGACTGGGTTGATATACTCATATGCTAAGGTCGGGACTGCGTTCAGTGTGGTGGTGGCAAGTGCTTGCCCAGAACTCTCATTTTCGGCCTGGTTTAGTTGATAATCCATCAAGTGTGATGTTGGCCCCCTAGCACGTTGTCTTTGCGGAGGTGGGAGGCCTCTACTTGCTTTGTTCTTATACTTCATCAATTCTTCATTAATGATCTCCCGCCTCATCATCTCGAGCAGGGCATCATAGGTGGTAGGTCCTGATTTTGCATGTCCTTCCAAAACAAGGTGTTCATGTTCAGGCCTTCTCTTAGTGCAAATAATGCCTTACGATCGGTGACTTACACACAGTATGTCATCTCATCAGTGAAACGTGATAGGAAGCTCTTCAGGGATTTCCCATGTGCATGTCTCATGTCTTGGAGGCGTTGGATGAGAGTCTCTCTTTCTTTGCTCGCAGCGAATCTCTTCAAAAATGTGATCTTGAATTCGGGCCAACTTTTTATATTCCTGGGTGGTAACCTATTATACCAAATTTTAGCTGCTTCGCTAAGTGTCAAGTGGAAAGCTCGGTACTTCACAGCTGGGGTGGCTCCTCTTAGGCTCATGTGAGTTTTGTAAGCGTTTAAGTGCTTCTCAGGGTTGCCCATTCCGTCATACTTTGGTATCTTGGGCATAACATAGTGGTTCGGGACCTGGGCACTCCTTAGTTCCCTCTAGAATGGCAGGTTCTCATCACCATCGTCCAAGACACAGGACCTCTGCTGCTCATCTGAATCGTTTTCTTCGGCCTCATACCTTGGTGGCTGGTGAGAGGTTCCAGGACAATTCCTAGCCTCCTCTTCCCTCCTTTGGCGCCTATTTCTATGCAGTGCAGCACAGTGGACATTTTCATGCCTTTCTTCTGGCTGTTGAGGCATGGGAGGTGGGGCCGTGGCCTTGTCCAATGCTCGCGAGGCTGTTGTTGCCTGGGCCTCAGTTCTACAGGGCTGATTTTATCAAATACACTACTTGACCTCTTAGGTCTTTGCTCTTACTCATATGGAGGTGGGAAGTTATCATGGTTCAAAGGAACCTCGGTAGGTCGCCCAGAAGCGTAGTTAAAAGAAACATCAACTTCCACTTCCCTTTCAAATGGACTTCTACCTTGGCTATAGTCCGGTGAGGCAACTCTCTAGCTTTGAACTTTATCTTCTTGCTGGTAGTATCCTTGTAGAGCGTATGGAGGATTAGGGAAGCCTCCCTAGCCTTGCATTTAGGCCATGAGTTTCCTCATAGCCATGTTCTGGCTGGCAATGTCTCTCATGTTGGCTACCATGGCGGCTATTTCTCTTGATAATCTGGTTGTTACTCTCATTCCACCTCGTCTATGATGGTGGTAGAGTCGGTGCTGAGCTACTGGAGGGGGCACACCCGCATTTTCTCTTACTCTTCTGGGGGCGTATCCTTGTTTGAACTCATTTTCTATGTTTGACCTTCAAATTTTTGCTAAGTTGTGGGGCTTCCTCTTGTTCTTTTCCAAGAACAAATCCTTTTTAAGGAGGGTGCCTACATGTTCCTCTTCAACAAACTTTCACCACAAGGTTATTTGTGGTTATTGTATGGTTTCCCACAGAGAGCGCCAATCTGTTGACCCCAAAATATGTTGCCAACAGATGCTGGACCCACCCGCGCACATGTGAGCAAAAGTCCAACACGTTAAGACACGTGGACGGTCTAAAACAGACAGATCAAGGGCGTGAGAGTAACTCAACGGCGCAGGACGAGAGTGTTCGGAATCCGATGAGATATTCGTTGACCGATTGTACAAGAATCACCAATCGACGTTTGTAAATGTATATCTGAATATGTATGAACACGTTTATGTTGCAAGATAATAAGGAGAGAGTGTTGAGTAAAGTATAATTTCTTGTATTGATTCTTGCATTAGCTTTTGTATGGGGTGTATGGGGGAGTATTTATAGTGTCACCAGTTAGATCGTGACCCTTGGTTCGGGATACACATGGCCTCATCTGGACAATTTACACGTCAAATTGTAGGCATCAACCGCACCTAGCCTATTATACATTTATTGATTGGCAGAGTTGCTTCTACTAGTGACAAGACTTAACATTTACACTCATAACAAATGTCCTATCAATCATTCAAGTAAGATCTTTGTGCAGAAGATCTCTTAGGAGAAGTGTCTATGGAAGATGTTGTTTTGTGATCCGGAGGTTGCTACCTCGGCTACTGATCTTCGGCCAACAGGGCCTCCTCTTTTCACATAATACTTCCACTTCAGGGCTTCGGCTCCATTTTCATGGTGCTTCTGCATCATGGCCTCAACTACTTTTCATAGTGCTTTGGCATGAGAGCATCGACCACTTTCACAGGGCTTCGGCATGAGGGCCTCGACCACATATACCACCACGGCTGAAGTGCCACGTGATTCGGCATGAGTGGGTCGTAAGCCCCAGTGGGTTGGCCAAGAGTGTCAACACGTAACAGAACATACTGAGAAATTAAAATTTAGCCAAGTCATATTACCTTTACGAGTTTAGCAAATTAGGTGGCTAGGTTTCCTACTAAAGAAAAACAATTCCAACTTGACTAAATTATGATGAGTAGGGATCTAATTGTTCCAATGGTCACTAAATTTAAGTTAACGTCTTTGATTGGTCACTGAAATTTAAAATGTCAAGTTTTAATTACTGAACTTAGGTTCATGTATTCGATTGCTTATCGAACTTAAAATGTCGAGTTTGGCCACCTAATTTTGAAAAATATCGTATGTTACTCACTAGCATAAATGTTGAACTTTGAAAATATCGAATTTATAGTGAATAATGTACAACAGTTTTCAAAGTTCAGTGACCAAAACTCGTCATTTTAAATTTCGATTAGCAATTCCAGACATAGGCCTAATTTTTATGATCAAAAGTCGACATTTTAAACTTCAATGACCAATCAAAGACATGGACCGACCATTGGAACAATTAACTCGTGAGTAGGAGTTATTCTGGAGATAAAAGTTATTTTTAATAGATAGTAATTAATGTTTTTCTTGAAATTATGAAAACACTTGAATACATATTTTTTGATGATTTGAAAATTATGAATTAGAATAATGGTATTCATAGTCACGTCTTTGAATGATTTTAATTGATTTGTCATCTTAATTGAATATTAAATATAGGATTTAAGAAGACAAGTTAATAATACAATCTAGCTGATTTTTGTAAGAATGATTTATTAAAGTAATATCCTTTGAATTTATGATCGAACCGAATTAAATTTGAAATAAACTATTTATTTGTTAGATGTCAATTAGTATGTAAAAGCATCGTAACATATTTCTTCTTAAAATAAAACATTTTTATTTCTGTTTCTTTTTAAAAGAATATATGATAAAATACCGTATTTTCCAAAAATGAAAATCTTGTTTTAATTATCCAGTTGCTTAACTTCTTTTCTTGTCCGGTTAAAAGTGGGGCATTTCCTACTTGGCTACTTGCTTCTTTCAACTAACTGATCGCACATCTCTCACTAAATCGAACGGCTACGATTTGTCAACGTAGATGGAGTGTATATCGTTGATCCGCAACACGCCGGAGTCCGCTTCCGGTGACCAGAGGTTCCCGGCAGTGGCAGAGGAGGAGGAGGATCGGTGTAGCTCTTATCGTCGTCATCCACGTCTTCGATCAGGAAGAACAGTGATGAGTCAGACGTTGAGGGGAAGAGGTACGGAGTAAATATAAATGTGGGCATAAGATGGGTTCGATGCTTTGGAAAAGGTTTTGCCTAGAAGGTACATATTCTCCTTTTATTTGAGTTGAAATTCATTTTTAATAAGTGTTCGGTGCTAATTTGAAGAGATTATATTTGCTTTTAAATTAGACTTTTTTTTTTCATTTTAAATGTGTTTTAGGGTTTTCATTTGTTTCCTTTATGTTGATTTTGTTGTTTAATTGCATGAAGAGTATCTTTGTACGAAAAATAATGAACTTGTGCACGGCGAAGTTAAATATCAGTTGCATATAGAAATGAAGATAATGGATTTTTTTCTTTATCTTGTCCATAAGTCTAAGTCATCAGAAGTTTGTAATCAACATAGCTCTAAGCTACTGTAGTTGAACCATGGTTTGAGATGGCAAGATAAGAGCTTGTCCAAGATCATTTCAATAGCAAAACAAGTTGAAACTTCAATATTTTGATGTTCGTAGAGTTCAGTCAATCCTTTCTAACTGCACAATATCTAATTTTCATTGGTTTGCATCAATTACAATAAGTAATTTCTAACTTCTGATGGTTAACATACGAATTCCTTTTGCATTTATGTTTATGTTGTTTATCCAATAATTTCTATTGGCTTATTTCAGGAATGGCATATCTAAGTTCTAGTGTGAAAAATCCAAATTTTTTACCAGCCTTTCGGATGCCTTGTCTTTCTCGTCCATTAAAGATATTGGTAAGCCTGATGATGCATACACCAGGAAGCGAAAAAATTTGCTTGCCTTCAATAACTTTTGGGACAAGAATTGTGATATTACTTTAAGAAGTAACAATGGCAGGATATCAAAAAGTCCTGCCAACTCTAGAAATGCATTAACTCAGGCAGAAACCACAAGCCATTCTGAGAGCAATAACTGTGAAATTTCTATCTCAAAGTCGTCATCACCTGGTGGATACCATGTCATCTCCACCGCTTAGTGAGAAGTTTGCCCCTGGCGGTCTTTCTCTTTGTCTGATCTGCAAGGTACAACTGCTGCTGGTCCCAGCATCTAGGATTATGGGTCTATAACAAAAACAAATATAGCAAACTATACAGATGCCCTTCACTTTAGAGTCACACTCAGAATCGAAAGTCAGATAGATGTTTATTGAGATGGAGATATTTGTAATTTCTGCCTTGCTTTGTTATTATAGGCTTCTACCGTTTGTTGTAATTGCTGCTGTATATTATTATCAGTTTCTGCTCTCCTGGTCAGCTATTATGTAGCTATATGAAATTCCTGCTAATTCTGAAGATTCGTTCTCCTTCTCTTCCTGAGTCTCTTGTCCTCGTAAGTTTCTAACTAAGTAAACTATCCTTATCTAGGAAATATAGGAATTTCATTTAATGAGAAGAATATTTTTCCTAAGGACACCTCCATGTTATGCTCGTTTGTGGGACTTGATTTAGGTTTTCTCGTGAGCTTAGTAGTAAATCATAGTGAGCAAACTTGGTGGCAACTGAAGAGTTCTGGCACTGTTGCCCAGTGTCAGCTGGTGCACTCATATATCCAATATTGCTTTTTTAATAAAATTAGGTGTCTTGAGTAATTATGATCTTGAACTTTTTATTTTTGTGTGGGAGTGTCTGTGCATGTTGTGCAAAATATTTTCCGGATTTCTGCAGCACACGAAAGGACGTAGTGTTATGAAGTACTGGAGTACCAAAACCCCTGCACTTCTGATCACAGCTTCTTTAAGGTATGGAATCTGACCTAACTTTATTTCTACCAGCAGCAAAATCTTAGTTTGATTATATATATTTGTTTTTGTTAATGATCTTAGTCTGTTGCTAATATTAGCATGCACTTTTGTCTTGGTAGCCTATTGTCAGTTTCATCAATAAATGCTTTTTTATGATTAGCACTGCAACATTATACATAGTAGAGAGTAAATATCCAAACACCTATACAAGCAAATGCTGTAAAAATGGAAGTTTGGGTTTTCTTCAAATTTCTAGATTTGTTCCATATGGACATCTTTAGCACTTGCTTTCCATGATGAACCTATGGTGCAGAGTAACTATAAATTCATGGTGCTTGTTGGAGTGGTCGTGGACTGTTGAAATCATTTATGAAGCTTCATACTAACTGGTGAAATGGTAAATGTCAAATCAAAAGGATTACATACACTTATAGATCCGTATTATCGCAGTCATATATTTTGTAAACTCACGTGGACAGTAAATAGACTTCAACCTTGTATCGGAGGAATTTTTCTAAGGGCATTTGCTCCATATACAGATATTAGAGGAAATAATGACATACCTGGTTTTGAGCCTAGTAATGACAAGCAAAAATGAATGATTAGCAGAAATAACGTTTTCTTTAGACTTAATTATCTGAGACTCGAGGTTATGATGAATGAAAATATTTTGGTTGAATAAGCAGCCATCAGATTGGTAATGAACGGTATCAATGAATAACAAACCAATTCTTAGGGTACTGTTCGTGAGCAAATTATTGATCTGAGTAACGAAATTGAGCCAAGTCAGGGTTTTGTCCTTGAGCAAAGTTATTGAA